AACTATAGAGAGAGATATATAAACTATAATCTTTTGGCAGAACACGCGAAAATGGAATTATTTAGTCAAAGCTTATTTGATTTTAATATTAAAATTGGAAAAACGTTACACGATTATATTTCTTTAAGAATTAAATGAAAAGTGTGAAAGAGAGAAATATAGGAAGTCAGAGTTGGGGAGCCACCGGAAATTCGTACAAGTCACCTAATTTACGGACCGACCAAACCGCCTCACTGTTTTCATCAGTCAACAAACAAACAAACAATTTAGCTCCTTTTTTCTACTTCCTCACTCTTTACATTTTTTCCATTAATTTGAAATTCTTATTTTGAATTATAAGCTGACCAACCTAAAAATTTGAGAAAATATAACACGATCAAAATTAGAACGGTCCATCAACTGCATAGACTATATTCAATTCTGTTTATTTGCATTACCATTCAATGTTTTGTATCTTTTCAAAATATTAAAAAAATGAAATAAACAGCATCCAATCATCATGATTCGAATTCTGTAAATTGCAGGAATTTGTCTTGTTTTTTCTTTAAATTATCATCACGGATTTTAAAATGGGATAAAGAAAGATAGTAGTAAAAGAAAGAAACCACATCTATAAGTAATAACAAATTATTAACCCAAAAAAGTTATAACCATTTGATTAAATCCATCGTGTCTCGAGGGTACCTCCGAATGTGTGATCATAGAACCACGAACCAAATCATGTTCTACAATATCTATATAATAAACTTTTTTTCTCTGTATTTATCAATAATATCAATTAAAAAGTTTGAGAGAAAGAGAAATATAATTACGCGCCAATGAGCAGAGTCCGTTGGCTGTCATGTGGGATGCTATAAACAAAACCAAAGGAGGATCGAAGAGTCAGATTTTTATATATCAAAAAAAGAAAATAACATATAAGAGGATTTTAATTAAAACAACAGATTCTATTGTAACGAGAAGATGATACATGCACTGCCACGGTTCCTCTCATGCAAAAGATGCTTTTTATTTAAAATCAATATCAAAAGAACAAAAATAAAGCATTCCTTTTAAGCTACGTTAATTTTACTACTTGGGTCCCCTTTTACTCAAACCAAAGATAA